TGTATCCCTGACATTAAGCATCACATGTCTATATTTCAGAGAGGTCCCTAATATCTCAGTATATGCACTCACATAACAGCTAAGGAAGGGAAAAGGGAACTTTTTAGAACACATGAAACTAGTTTAAAGACTTGACATAAGCCAGGTGTGGTGGCGCACGCCTGTAGTCCCAGCTACTCGGGAGGCTGAGGCAGGAGAATCACTTGAACACGGGAGGCGGAGGTTGCAGTGAGCCGAGACCGCGCAATTGCACTCCAGCCTGGGCAACAGAGTGAGACTCCGTCTCAAAAGAAAAAAAAAGACTCAACATACATTATTTCATTTAATCTTCACAACTATTTACAAGACATTATCATGTTTCATTTCTTTCCACTTATTTTTTTTAGAGACAGGGCCTCACTCTATTGCCCAGGCTGCAGTGCAGTGGTGCAATCATAGTTCACTGCAGCTTCAAACTTCTGACCTCAAGCAATCCTCCTGCCTCAGCCTCCCAAAGTGCTGGGATTAGAGACAGAGTCTTGCTCTGTCGCCAGGCTGGAGTGCAGTGGCGTGATCTTGGCTCACTGCAACCTCTACTGCCCGGGTTCAAGCAATTCCCCTGTCTCAGCCTCCCAAGTAGCTGGGACTACAAGTGCATGCCATCATGCCTGGCTAATTTTTTATTTTTGTTTTTGTATTTTAATAGAGACGGGGTTTCACAATGTTGGCCGGGATGGTCTCCATTTCCTGACGTCATCATCCGCCCACCTCAGCCTCCCAAAGTGCTGGGTTTACAGGTGTGGGCCAGGGCACCTAGCCCCTATTATGTTTCTTTTAGACCTAAGTAGGCTGAGGCTTAAGAAAGTGAAACGGCTTGTTCAAAGTCATGGAGCTAATAAGCACTGGAGACAAGATTAGAAATCAGGTTCATATGACTCCGAGCCATGCTGCTTTTGAAAGATTTCTTACCTTCCATGCCAATGAGCAGTAGGTTAGAGGTAAGCTGCCCCCAGCCACGCTTTCCCTGTTGCTTATTAATCCAGTTCCAGTTAAAACCCAAGAAGTCCATGACAATCTTCCTGCCCACAGTGTCATTGAGCGTTTGCTGCAGATACAACCTATGTTCCCCAAGAAGAAAATCCTATTAGTGCATGCACACGCAGCCCCTGGCATGGCCTCTCCACATCTGAAAATACAAGCCCAAATCCATACCAGCATCTCCCACAGAGAACAGATATAGTCAGGCAAATCTTAGCCAACATGGATTTTCATACAACTGAATTCTTACTTATCCTTCATTGAGTTATGTTTAACACCAAACTTTTTAATTTATTGTTTTGTTTTGTTTTAAGAAACAAGGTCTCACAATGTTGCCCAGATTGGTCTCAAACTCTTGGGCTCAAGCAATCCTTCTGCTTCTGCCTCCCAAAGGTGCTAGGATTACAAGTGTGAGACACTGCAACTGGTCCCCAAACTTTTTCTTTAAAGAAGTGATGCTTAACCTTTTTTGGGTCACAGAATGACTCCTTTAAGAATCCAAAGAGTAGGAGGGTGAGATGAAAAATAAAACTTAAAAAAAAAAAAAAAAAAAAAA